TTAATTCAGTACGTTATGCCAAATTTCGTGCAAATCGGAAGATATATAGGGACTTTGGGGCACCATTTACATGAAATCGGACGAAACTATATATGGGAGCTATATCTAAATTTGAACCGATTTTCTCGAAACTTGGCAGACATGGCTCTAGGCTTAATTCAGTACGTTATGCCAAATTTCGTTCAAATCAAAAGATATATAGGGACTTTTGTGGACTATTTACCTAAAATCGGGCGAACTATATATGGGAGTTATATCTAAATCTTAACGGATTTTCACGAAACTTGACAGACATCATTCTAATCAATATCTTTTGATATTGGGGCACCATTTACATGAAATCGGACGAAACTATATATGGGAGCTATATCTAAATCTGGACCGATTTTCACGAAACTTGGCAGACATCATTCTAGACCCAAATGATTAGGCTGTACCAAATTTCGTGCAAATCTAAAGTTATATAGGGACCGTTTACATTAAATCGGTTGAATATATATATGGGAGCTACATCTAAATCTGAACCGATTTTTTCCAATTTCAATAGGGTTCGTCCTTGTTCCAAACAAATGAGCTGTGCCAAATTTCATCCAATTCGGATCATAAATGCGACCTGTACTTTGCTCACAAAAATACATGGACAGACAGACAGACGGACGGACGGACATGCATATATCGACTTAAAAAGTGATTCTATGCATATTCTCAAAAGGAACCATGGGTCTATCTCGTTTCCTTTTGCCTGTTACAAACATATGCACAAAGACATAATACCCTGTACCACAGTGTGGTGAAGGGTATAATAATCAGCAAATATATTTCTCAGCCTCCAAGAAGTTGGAATGTCAAATTACAGTCATTTCGGTGGGCAAATGTGGCCAAAAGTTTCAAAACATGGACCTAAAAAGAAAACTATTTCTGCATAACACAACCGGTGCAGAAATCTTTCTAAAACCTTGAAAATAGTAAAAATTAGGCAGCATCCTCCTCCAATGTCAAATTACAGACACTTCAGTGGGTAAATCCGTCAAACATGAAACAAACATTCATGGATGTATGACAAACTCAAAAATCCGTAATGACTAATTACTGAAACTTCGGTGGAGACATGCTTAAAAATACAAAAATGTAGGGGGACCTTTATATTAGGGTGGATATGCCAAAACATGAGCCAATATAAAAATGATGATTCTTCCCTTCCATGAAACATGAATGCAAAATTATAGTCACTTCGGTGGTGTGGATAAATCTTTCGAAATACCGAAAATGAGGCGGGATCTTGATATGGAGTATATGTCAAAGCATGGACTTTTTTCACACCCCTAAGAAACTGGAATGCCAAATTACAGTCACTTCGGTGGTGAAATGCCATCAAAAATGAGGCGGGATAATTATGTGGATACTATGTCAAAATATGTGCCTATATTAAACATTTTCTGCAAACATGTTTCGCACCCTCCAAGAATCCGATATGTCAACGTTTTAAACGATATAATTATATCCTGAGAATGTTTAAAAACCCAATATCAGAGAATATAAAATGTGTGTTTCGTTCCACCCCATTAAACATTTTTCATTGCAACCAAAAAATAAACCATATGCAACAACAACAACTTGAGCGGCCATGAAAATGTTCGCACATAAATTCTGGATTGTTTTTTGATTCTATGACGATTTAGAAATGTCCGCAATATTAAAAATAGGAATACATGTGTATGTGTGTATATGTGTTTGTCTATAAAAGTGCCAAATGACAAACGTTAAGCAGCTGTATTGCGCATTTTATGCACAATACAGTGCAAATTTGGCGCGAAAAATTTTAAAATCCAATTTGTTTATTTCAAAATTCAAATGTGACTTCAATAAATTTTCACAATATTTTGTCTTTTGACTAAACAAAGAAAACAAAACGCTAAAATAAATCGACAAATTATTGTGAAAACAGATTGAAAATTAATTATTTCGGAAAAAAATTAAATATTACGATGACAAATATTATGAAAAGAAACAAGTAATGCGAGGTGCTTTTAATAAGTGTGGCAAATATTTTCAATTTCTATAACGAAACTTTCTAAGTTTTGCTACTTTTATTTATTTTTTATTTTTTTTAGAAAATCCACTTTTATTAAAAATTTACCCGAGCTGTGCTAGCGTGACCATATGGTCACACTCATAATACGATCAATAAATCATCTAAAAAACCTGTACCCGAGCAGTGCCAGTGTGAACATACGGCCACAGCCCAAAAATTGATCCTTTCGATTATCCTGATAAGAAAAAGGATACAAATCAAATTTTTGAATTCAGTGGCCCACAATCTAGAGACGCTGAAAGTTTCGTCCCACAATTCAAAAAAAGTAGTAAAGTCGGACTGGGCCGACTATATGATACCCTTCACCACTTTGGGTAGATTCTACATATGTATCCGACAAGTCGACGCCTTTTTGAAGGAATTTTGACATGAAATTGAACGAACTTAAATATGTGATTATTATTTTTTCTGGAATCTGCACTGTTTAAAATTTAATCTCAATCAGACACCTATTGATAATTTGGTGTACAGTAAACATAAATAAGTCGAAATTATATATGGAAACTACGATATATCTATATCTGAACCGATTTGAAGCAAACTTGCCAGAGATTAATTTATATTAATTTCAGTGCGTTGTGTCTATCGGCCTAGCTGTGGACCTTAGCAGGGACATTGGTGCACCACTTACCTAAAATCGGGCGAAACTATATATGGGAGCTATATCTAAATCTGAACCGATTTTCACGAAACTTAGCACACATCATTCAAGACCTAATTCAGTAGGTTATACCAAATTTCGTGCAAATCGATATATAGATATATAGGGACTTTCGTAGACCATTTACCTAAAATCGGGCGAAACTATATATGGGAGCTATATCTAAATCTGAACCAATTTTCACGAAACTTAGCACACGCCATTCTATACTTAATTCAATACGCTATGCCACAATTCGTGCAAATCAAATGATTTTCAGGGACATTGGTGCACCATTTACCTAAAATCGGGCGAAACTATATATGGGAGCTATATCTAAATCTGAACCGATTTTCACGAAACTTAGCACACGTCATTCTAGACTTAATTCAATACGCTATGCCACAATTCGTGCAAATCAAATGATTTTCAGGGACATTGGTGCACCATTTACCTAAAATCGGGCGAAACTATATATGGGAGCTATATCTAAATCTGAACCGATTTTCACGAAACGTAGCAGACATAATTTTAGACCTAATTCAATAGGCTATACCAAATTTCGTGCAAATCGAAAGATATATAGGGACTTTGGTGGAGCATTTACCTAAAATCGGGCGACACTATATATGGGAGCTATATCTAAATCTGAATCGATTTTCAGGAAACTTAATACACATCATTCTAGACCTAATCCATTACGCTATGCCAAATTTCGTGCAAATCGAAAGATATATAGGGACTTTGGTACACCATTTATCTAAAATCGGACGAAGATATATATGGGAGCTATATCTAAATCTGAACCGATTTTCAGGAAACTTAACACACATCATTCTAGACCTAATTGATTACGCTATGCCAAATTTCGTGCAAACCGAAATATATATCGGGACTTTGGTACGGGACTTTCGTGCAAATCGAAAGATATATAGGAATTTTGGTACACGATTTACTTTAAATCGGACGAAAATATATATGGGAGCTATATCTAAATCTGAACCGATTTTTCCCAATTTCAATAGGGTTCGTCCTTGGGCCAATTAAGAGACCTGTGCCAAATTTCATCCAAATCGGATCATAAATGCGAACTGTACTTTGTTAACAAAAATACATGGACGGACGGACATGCATAAATCGACGCAGAAAGTGATTCTATGCATATTCTCAAAAGGAACCATGGGTCTATCTCGATTATTGTTGCCTGTTACAAACATATGCACAAAGACATAATACCCTGTACCACAGTGTGGTGAAGGGTATAAAAACCTGTAACCGAGCAGTGCCAGTGTGAGCATAAGGCCACAGCCCAAAAATTTATACTGTCGATTATCCTGATAAGAAAAAGGATACAAATCAAATTTTTGAATTCAGTGGCACACAATCTAGAGACGCTGAAAGTTTCGTCTCACAATTCGGAAAAAAAATAATTACAGCTCTATTCGGGTTAATTCTTGAATTCAAATTCAAAAGAGGAGTGGATTTATTAACGGATATTTTATTCAAAATCTAAAAGAGGAGTGGATTTTTTACAGGATTTTTTTTAATCTAAAGGAGGATTGGATTTATTAAAGGATTTTTAATTTAATTGGATTAATAAAAAATATTTTATTCAAAATCTAAAAGAAAAAAGAAAAATCAAAAAGAGAAAGAATATTTTATTCAAATTCTAAAAGAGGAGTGAATTTATTAACAAATATTTTCCATGGATGTAAAATTTTTCAATGGAAATTTTGGATAGGTAATACTTAGTGTCTAGCCCTCGAATTAAAATTCAACAATATACTTATCGTCGGGCTACCTTCATATATATATATATATATATATATATTATTACGTTTGCATCCGAATTCTATTTTGAAGTCGGCTTCGCTTCTGGCTTGTACAGAAAACAAAAGACTTAAGAGACAAGCACCATAGCTTTCCTATTATATGAAATTAGAATTTTTGTTTTTATTTTTAGAAAATATTTTTCTAACGGAAATTGTGTTCTATTTCTAGCCAAAAAACATAAAAGAAAAGAAAATTCAATTAATAACCTAGTTAGATCATTAGACCAACAAGAAAAACGACCCATTTAAGTTAATGTATTTGTACAAACTCATTCGTATCCGCCTAATGGCCCTACAGCATAACTGTGTTGTAATAGTCATAATACCAAATAAAAAACACAAACAATTATCACAATTTAATAATAGTGGGAAATAAAAGAAAGCAAGCCAACAATATTGTGGTTGTTGTTGTCGTGTGGCACACACACACACTTACCCATTGCAATGACCGTTTCGATGTTACACTGCACTGTCGCATGTTGTTGGGCATTTTTCTTAAGCTCAACATCCGCTTCCGTTGGCCGTATTGATTTATTGCCCTGCAACAGTTTGTGATAATTTTCCATGGATTTAAGGCAATCGTCATAAAATTTAATGAACTCTTCCACCGTCTGGCATTGGTTGGGGGTGAGACGAAAAACAAAAACGGAAAAAGATGACACATTTAATATTATTCAATGCATTGTATACAAAAATATGGTATGTATGTCATTATGATCATCATTATTACAAGAAAAAATACAAGCAAACTCACCTTCCTCTGCTGTAACCACAAATCATAATTGAATTGCAGTGTACCGCCCAGCTCTTCGGGCAGTGAAGACAAATCAAAGAATTTTGGTAAACGGGCCTTTGACAAGACAATGGGCTGAAAACAATAACAACAAACATTATACATTTAGTTTTATGACGTTTTAGGTTAAAATATTATTCAAATAATTTTTTTAGTTCTTTCGATTATATCATTTTGATTTTAATTTTTTTATTGATATCAATTTTAATTATTGATATTATGATTTTTCCTTTAGTAAATTAAATGTCTTACCTCTCCCTTCCCCTGGCCTTTGGTACAGGTCTCAACATGTTTCTCCCAGAATCCTTCGGATTTGACTAGATATAGACTGACTTTTAGACCATCGAACAGATTGTAAATATAACGGGCATGCTGACGCGTTATCCGGGCCGTTGTCTTTTGGGCATCGACAATTATGGTAATGCCTCGTTGCAAAATCACCTCACTGAAAATGAAAATTGTGAAAAAATAGCAAATAAATCAGTCATCATCAATCATGTTTTGTAGCCTTAATTAACTTGTATTTGTTTAATTTTCTAATAAGAAACTATGACATCTTAAAACACGAATTGCCTTAGGGATTCTCATGTTTTAGATTATAGTAGCTAATAGCTATTTGCCAAAAAAGTTGTATTGACATTGGCCCAAAAACTAAGTATTTTTTCATATTTAGATTTTCTTTAAATAAAGCCGAAATTCTTTAGAATTCACTATACTACCAATTTCAAAAAATATGCCTCCAAGGTAAATTTGATGTTCATGAATAGATAAATAGAAATCTTGTTTCCAAGAACTATGTGATTAATTCACCCTTTTTTAAAAGGCAGTATAACTGTTGTATACCGTCAACCAGAACAAGAATACGAGGGCAGATTCATGATTTTTGGTACATAGGTTAAGGAAAATATGCTGATTCAAAATCTGTTCGCGTTCACAAATTCGGATGCTGCGCACAAAAGAACACTTCTTTTTACAGAAATGAATTTAAATTATATGCATTATGTTCATATTTCGCGAGTTTTAAACTTGCAAACCTCAGCTTCAATGAATTTAAAAGATTTTTGTAATTTCTCCATATCTTTAGCTAAAATGCAAAAAGGCGTAACTAACAAAAAAATTGAATTGAATTTACTTTTTGAATGAATATTGTGAATGTCAATAAACTACATGTGTTGACAAAGTCAATTTCAACTTTCAACTTTCATTTTTTTTTTTTTTTTTTGTTAGTTACGCCTTTTTGCATTTTAGCTAACGATATACACTTTGATACGACAAAAATGTGCCTCATGGAAATAATAGGTTTAGACCGTATGTTTCATTGGACCAAATCCGTTTCAGATAATTTGGAGTCGATTTACATATGACATATGTCTGTCAATTTTTTCAATATTTATAAATTTAATATCAGGCAAATGGACAGTCTGATTTGAATCAAACTTTGTTCAACCTATTATCTTTACCAATCCTAAATGAAGTCTGAAAATTGGACCTTCTGGTACCTCCTCCACAATTGGTCAACATTTTCAATATTCATAAATCCAATATCAGGCGAACGGACTATCTGATATGAACCAAATTTTGTACAAGCTATTATCTTTACCGAACCTAGATCATGTCCGAAGATGATACCCATTGATCCAATCCTTCTGGTACCTCCCCTAAAAATACGCAAAATTTTGAATATTTATTTATGCAATATCGGACGAATGGAATGTCCGAACATTGTACTACCTATTATCTTTACCAAGCCTAGATCAAGTCCGAAGGTGGGCCCTCTCCTTCTGGTACCTCCCCCACAAAATGGTCAATATTTTATAAACATGTAAATTTAATTTGAAGCGAATTGTATTACCGATTTAATCAACATTAAATTCGAAACCTCTTGGATAAAAACTTATTCCTTATATAAAGCGAACAATAAAACCAGTGAGTATTTCCGAAGACCTTCGCAAACCATAGGCTGAGGGTACACCTACTAACACTTTTTCATTTGTTTTACTGATGTATATATTTATTTTAGTGATCTGTCGTTGTATAAATATTTGTCATCGAAAAAAAATTTGTGGATAATACTACATTTTCATTAATCATAACGCATAATAAGCTCTTGGTCATGTTAAGAGAAGAAGGAATCAATGTACCTAAAGACTGCAGAACATTAAGAGGAACTCCAAACGAAGTATACATTCGTAGTATTTTAGGGGGATCATATACTCATTATGGGTTAAAAGCTATCATAATGCCCACTCAGCGATTTACTACATATAGTATAATAAGAGGCACCACCAACATTGGGTATTTTAAAGGTTAGCCCCCATTCAAATTATTTGAAATGCCTATATTGAGGTTAATTTGTTATTATTTCAGGCCAAAACGACATGATGGATGAAATCATCAAATACATATGAACAAAATCTTCCATCAGCTACTGTTAACCAAACACCAATCATCATCATAATCGTATTGTTGGGGAAATAGTTTACAACCAGTTATTTATTATTAAAATAATAAAAACTACCTCATGCGGTGCCACAAAAACAATTTAAATGGCGGCAACATTTTTGCTATGGCTACTTTTATTAGCCAAAATACTTTGAAATCATAAAATTGGTTTAAAAAATTTCAAAAAGCATGAATTACATAAAAACATATTTTTTCTCCTCCCATTGTTCAGAAAAACTCGATAACAGTCTATAATAAAACGGTATTATTTTTTACTAATATAAAATTTTACATTTTTCAAAAAACATGTCGGCCATTTACTCAATCGATTTTACATTAAACGTTAAAAAAAATAATAAAAGCATGGCGCCGCAACTTTTAAGGATGGGTGATCAAATATTTTAATGGTTACTTTCCAAACCACAAACATAACTAAAGGCGTAGTCATTTAGTTATGTTTGTGCAATTTTAAATTATAAACAGACCTATACAGACCTAGAAATTGTAAGATCTGAAAATTTTTAAAAGAAGGTAGCATACATATGTATGGGTATATTACACTGTGCGATTTGAATTTTTTTGATAATTACCGGGAAATTCCAACAGATTATGAGAGATGGGCTAAAAATGGGTAATAAGTACGATATTAACCCTAAAATGAGTTTTTGTTTTTTAAGATTTTTGACGTTTAGGCTGATTTTTGAGTTTTAGTCTATTCTGAGACTTATAGTAAAACTTTATTGCGAACATTTCTGTAGAATATTCTGAGCAGCTTTAACCCCGTTTTGAATGAGTTTTCAATCACTCCTGGAAAAGGGGACCGAAAAGACCCCTTTAATGAGTCGGTTGAGAGTTAAAGTTGCAGACCAAAATATTCCTCGATATTTTATCAGTAATATTGCCGAAGACATTATATACCTAAAATGCAAGGATATCAAGAAATCATAATTCGAAAATTATCAAAATTCTTGAAAAGGGGGAATATTCCCCGCCTTTTTTGGTTACCTCCCGACGTAAACTTTCAAAACGCCGATACACGTGTCTTTTTTAGCCCCTCTTTCATAATCTGTTGGAATTTCGCGGTAATTATTTTTTGTGTTGCACAGTGTTATTATACCCTTCACCACACTGTGGTACAGGGTATTATGTCTTTGTGAATATGTTTGTAACAGGCAAAAGGAAACGAGATAAACACATAGTTGCTATCCTGAGAATATGCATAGAATCACTTTTTAAGTCGTTTTATGTATGTCCGTCCCTCTGAATGTCATTGTTAAATTGTAAACAAAGTACAGGTCGCATTTTTGATTCAAATTGGATGAAATTTTGGCACAGCTCATTTATTTGGCCCAAGGACGAACCCTATTGAAATTGGGAAAAATCGGTTCAGATTTAGATATAGCTCCCATGTATATTTTCGTCCGATTTTACCAACGACGTTCTGACATAGCGTTCTGAATTAAGTCTAGAACAATGTGTGTTAAATTTCGTGAAAATCGGTTCAGAGTTAGATATAGCTCCCAAATATATATATATATATATATATATTTTCGTCCGATATAAGGTAAATGGTGCACCAAAGTCCCTATATATCTTTCGATTTGCTCGAAATTTGGCACAGCATACTGAATTGAGTCTAGAATGATGTGTGTTAAGTTTCGTGAAAATCGGCTCAGATTTGGATATAGCTCCCATATATATATTTTCATCCGATTTTTGGTAATTTGGGTACCAAAATCTCTGAAAATGATTTGATTTGCACGAAATTTGTAATAGTGTACTCAATTAAGGCTAGAATGATGTGTGCTAAGTTTCGTGAAAAAAGGTTCAGATTTAGATATAGCTCTCATATATATTTTTCGTCCGATTTTAAGTAATTGGTGGATCAAAGTCCCTATATGTCTTTCGATTTGCACGAATTTTTGTATAGGGTACTGAATTAAGTCCAGAATGATGTTGCTAAGCTTCGTGAAAAGATCCGTAGCTAGGTCAATTGGCACAACGTACTGAAGTAATATAAATTAGTCTCTGGCAAGTTTCCCTGAAATCGGTTCAGAAAGTGTCGTCTTTAGGATACATATGTAGAATATCCCCAAAGTGGTGAAGGGTATCATATTGTCGGCGCAATCCGACTTTACTACTTCCCTTACTGGTTTCTTAAATGGGGCGGTATCCTTATATGTCGTTATAAACAGTGACGTTGTATAGATTACAATATTTAAGATTGAGTTTGGTATTGCAAAAAATAGATATCGTTAAAAGATTTTGCAAATTTTTTGTCTGTAAGTATATATTTGGAGTTCTATGTTTAGGGTAGCAAATTGTTCTACCATAAACTATCAATATTGGGATTTTTCTTAACAAACCCCCATATTACAGTTCCTCTAAAATTTCGGTATTTTGCGTAATGGCAAGTTTTCACTAAAATTGGCTTTAATATTATTGTTTGGATTTCGAATTTCAATATCAAAATTTATCAATATCGGTTTCCATTTTGATATAGCCCCCATATAACTATAACACCACAATTCGGTTTGTTTCAGGTATAGCACATCCTGAGTGACCGAGCTGTCTAATTCGATTTTTTATGTATGCCCCGATCGGTTTTAGACATTTTAAATGTCCTCTTCATGTCGAACATAACGATTTATTTACTTGTTGATTTATTTAATATTGGCGCCGAGAAATTTCCATAGTGTTAAATGTGTCCTACTGCGGGCCTTATAACAATTACGGACCGTTCGAACTTTACGCATATTAACGTGTTTGACTAGATTGTTTAGAAATTAAATATTCAATTTCAAACCCCTGATCCCCGCACCATTTTACAAACTAACAATCAACAACAGTTTATGTAAAACCCAATTTAATGATTATCCATTAAAAATGTTGTTGTTATTGTTGATTTTCAAATTTCTAATTTGTATAATGAATGATAAATACTATTTTATCGTCACCAAACAACATAAAATTTGCAAGTGTATTAGTGTGCGTTACGACTTACCTTAGTGATCGTCGCAAATACGCTGCCGATAGTTCCAAACATTTACGCTGCCAACTTTGTAGATCGTTGATTACATTGACAATGAAAATGATTTTGCCATCACGATCAAAACTTCCCGGTAAATAGGCTGTGCGGCTCTGTAAGGCATTTAAAACATCTTCTTCCATTTTTATGAGACGACTTTGACAGCAGAAGCAGCTCCAGCTGGCGTAGTAGCATCAATAGACCAACGTGTGCGAAGACGTGTACTCGTACTGGCTATATGGATATATTTCTTGAGTTTTATGAAGGCTGTTGTCGTATTTTTAGTTTTTTTTTTATTCTTTGGAGTTTATTGAAGTTCGATGTTGTTTTTTTTTTCTTCACTAGCAATTACACACTTATTACCAGTGCCACTGGTTTCACCACATATTTTATTATTTTTGTTTCTGGATGGACTAAATTTTTGTGGTCGGCTGGTTTTTCTCGCAAAACCGACTGGTTAGACCGCAATCGGCTGTGTGTGTGCCTGGGTATCTCATCTATGGCTATGACATTTATTTGTGTTTATTAAAACAAAAAACAACAACAACATTAAAAACGAAGAATTTAATTGTAATAAATCAGGAAGTTTCCCGCTATACGGTTAATGGTGGTAGTTCACAACGACGACGGAGATGATGATGGTGTTGTTGTTAGTGGCGGTTATACGAAGTGGTTTTTCATGGTTATGAATTGCTTTATTTGTAATTTGTTGTTGTAACAGATTTATTTTAATGGAAAATCTTGTTATTTATTATTTTATTCGGGTTTTGATTTTGTATTTTCATTTGCTGCTTGAATGCACTTTAGTGGAGATTTCCATCAAACATGTTTGACAGGTTTACGCACATTTTTTGAGGACAAATATTTTTTTAGTTGTTTTTCAATTCATGCTACATTTCTGATGTCCGAACATACCTACAGTGGTCGGAATAAAAACTTGAAAAATCGTGGATTTTCTAAAAAAGGTTGGGAAAAATATTATTTAAAAAATCCACGCCTATGATAGGTTTGGGAAAAGCATAACTTAAAAGAATCCACGCCTATAATAGGTTTAGAAAAGTATAACTTAAAAAGTCTACGCCTATGATAGGTTTGGAAAAGTATAACATAAAAAAATCTACGCCTATGATAGGTTTGGAAGAGTGTAACATAAAAAATCCACGCCTATGATAGGTTTAGGAAATGTATAACTTAAAAAAATCCACGCCTATGATAGGTTTGGAAAAGTATTATTTAAAAAAAAACACACCTATGATAGGTTTGGAAAAATGTAACTTAAAAAATCCACGCCTATGATAGGTTTGGAAAAATGTAACTTAAAAAATCCACGCCTATGATTGGTTTGGAAAAATAATTATTTAAAAAAGCCACGCCTATGATAGGTTGGGAAAAAGTATTATTTAAAAAATCTACGCCTATGATAGGTTTGGAAAAATGTAACTTAAAAAAATCCACGCCTATGATAGGTTTGGAAAATGTAACTTAAAAAAAATAAAATTTTATTTAAAAAATCGGCGATAAAATGATAGGTTGGGAAAAAGTATTATTTAAAAAATCTACGCCTATGATAGGTTTGGAAAAATGTAACTTAAAAAAATCCACGCCTATGATAGGTTTGGAAAATGTAACTTAAAAAAATTTTAAATTTTATTTAAAAAATCGGCGTCTATGATAGGTTGAGAAAAAGTATTATTTAAAAATCCACGCCTATAATAGGTTGGGAAAAAGTTTTATTTAAAAATCCACGCCTATAATAGGTTGAGAAAAAGTATTATTTAAAAATCCACGCCTATAATAGGTTGGGAAAAAGTTTTATTTAAAAATCCACGCCTATAATAGGTTGGGAAAAAGTTTTATTTAAAAAATCGACGCCTATGATAGGTTGGGAAAATGAACCTTTTTGCAAAAAAAAAAATTAATTTTATTCAAAAAATCGGCGCCTATGATAGTTTGGAAAATATAACTTTTTACAAAAAAAAATTTTTTAAATTTTATTTAAAAAATCGACGCTGGTACGGACTCCTATGATAGGATCAGAAAAATATTATTTAAAGAATCTACGCCCTCAAAAAATATTATTTAAAGAATCTACGCCCTCAAAAAATATTATTTAAAAAATCCACGGCTATGATCGGGTCGGAAAAATAATGATATAGAATATATACACATTTCATGGAGTCTCCGCTGAATATTCTGAGGTGGTGAATGTTGTGAGAATCTTATTGGAAATTTGTATATCCATTACAAATGATATCTTAAATATTTTAAGATGCAATGTTTTCTATAATTTATATCTGCCCACTCTAATATATCACCGATGAGCCATAAAAACACATTGGTTTTGTTTGATTTTTCTCCAAAGTAGTTGTCAATTACAGTTACCAACAAAAGGTACACCACAAATCAGGTGGATAAATGCATTTGTAGTTGTTATTTTTTTCCCCAGCTTGTTCTAAGCCTGGCATACTTCTTTTGGACCGATATATAGACATCCGCAGCATTTTTTTTTCTTCTTCTTTAAAAGATTTGTCAGAGACCCACTTTAAATGCGTTCATGCCAGTGGCCATTTAAACAGCTTCTAAAACTAGTTAACGTGGTTTTTCTTTTTTGTTATAACAACAACAAAAACAGTAACTAGTACTTGCATAGTCAGGCAGTCAGTTAGTCCACTCCACTCCTTGTACATCGATTATGGTCAACCTGACCAATCAGTCGGTTAGGCAACTAGCCAACAAACGACCAAACACAAGAATGTTCAATGTTTTTTCTTCTTCTTATTTTAGTTGCAACCTAAAAAATTCTTAACGAACGAAGTAACGAATGACTGGGGAGCGACATTCGTTATTAATTAATGCCAGTAATTTATTGTTGTCATAACGAGCGTAGCCTTTGAATTGTGTTAATGTATTGAACTTATAAATAAATTAAACATTCTGATAATGGCGATGAGTGTGTTCCCGTGGTGGTTAGGTTTAAAATTTCAATATAAGGACAAAGGAGATATGAAATCAATACCTTATGGAGGTCTACTATAAATAGAAAAAATGTAGAATAAAAATAAACCCTCCGTTTAGGGTCTTCTATAAATAAAATGCCCTGTTTTGGTTTTCCATGACCGTCTTTCGTAAAAAAACGTTTATTGTAAAAAAGCGAACTGTTGCATTATACCGCAATATTTCAATATCCCCATACAACTGTACTGCACAAAAAATGTGTAAATATTTCCATGTTTTGTTATTGCCACTAGAACACACCTTTAAATCGCATTTTGAATATATTTCGATAAAACTATTATTTTAGGAATAATCCTACAAATTTGACCTGATATCCACTCATCCTGACTTTTTATGATATTTTAGTTTGCAGAGGTCTACGGCACTGTTCACCAAACAGGCGCCCGTGGGCGCTTTGGGAGAGAACCAATACAATCACAGTTCTGTGTTCGAACTCAACATTATTCTCGACATCGAACATGTTGTATGCTTTGCAATGCTTTAACATAGACGATTTGTACCGAGAGAGCGAAAATTACTCTCCCAACGGATCTATGCGAGTGTCCAACACAATCATAGCAGTTTGCATATGTATTGTTGGCTAACCCTGACCTATATACACAGAAAAAAAATTGATTGTATATTATAGCGTTCAGAAAGTGTAGCAAATGACGGTATTTATTTATGCATTCTATGAAAGCAATTCATAAAACTTTAAATACTTGATTCATGAAAATGTAAATAAATAAAAATTTATTTACATTTTCATGTTCTGCCTCATTAAAAAAATTTCTCAAAATTTCGTGAAAATCTATTGTTTTTGGTAAAGATCGGTTTATATTTGGGGATGAAATGGACCAAACACTTAATTTTTGTCGGTTTTTCTGGTCGCTCCAGAGGCCGCAATTATGGCCCAAACATCGCGAATTTTTGCATAGAGAAGGGGATAGGGCCAAAGAATAAGCATGCCTGTTTTGATAAAGATCGGTCAATATTTAGCGGGTCAAATGGACCCTGACTTTTGTGTGAAAAATGACAAAATTTGTATTCTATAGCGTATATATTTACTCCTGAAGGACAAAGACCCAATAAGTTGATAGTATATCCAAGAGGAGTGGTTCACCTTTAAATTGATACCAATTATATGGTCGTATGTACTCGGATGTGGGAGTTACACGTAAATATTTTCAGGAGCTTAAGTATTCATATATTATTTAGTAACATATTACCACAATAGAGGAGGGAAATATAGCGCTCATCGCTTTGAAATTTTCCTTGAGGATCCAGGTATGGTCAAGGACAACGCCTATAATTTTCTGTAATGATCAGATTAACAATTTGGGATGAAGTGGACCCAAAACTAATTTTTTTGTATTTTTTCGAGTCGATCTATATACTACAAAACCGAAAGTCACAACACAACACACGGTGAAGTGAATCTTGACAAGTAATTAGAAGGGCTGTAAAGAATTTTGGGATATTCGGAAAATATGTATTTGTAAGGAAGAGGTGCTGTTGATCTCTAATCGGTCAAGAGGGTGCAAATATCACGAAATATTGATCAGGCTCGAAATAAACATACGCAAAAGTTAGAGTTCCGTGGTAGTTGTGTAGGGTATCATATGGTCGGCCCCGTCCGACTATACTGCTCTGCTCACTGTTTGGAAAATACATATGCGAATTTTGTAACACCGATGCAGAGGTCGGTAGGTGTGTCTGAAGAAACAATGGAATACAAAAAGTACAAACACCAAGTAAGGAGAAAGGCGAAGAACGATGTGGTGGTATTGTTTTTTCTAGAGAGGAATATATTTGGTTTTGTCAAAAAAGAGAGAGATGAACAAAAGAGCGCAAATAGTGTTAAAGTTGCGATATTAATGAAATGTTTACATTTTTTGGAAAAAAATAGTGGATTTCGAAGCTCCAACTATTTCGACTAATGGAATTATCGACTTTTTGTACTAAAAAGTCGAAGTCGACTTTTGATCTTTGGGGAAATCGCAAAGTTTATCGATTTTCTTCATAAGTACCTGGCATGTAATCACATAGCCCGAATTGCCAAAAATTATAATTAATATATTATAATAATTTCTTTTGGCAATAAAAAAAATAAAATTGTTAGTCGATTTAGCATTAGTCGATAAAAGTCGAA